TTATTCTAAACTCGCAGAAGAGAGCCACATTCAGGGAGATTTCAGAATTCTGCTTTTGGAAGGGATTTGTGTTGTTCGTTACAGGAGTTGTAGGAGGTTAGTCCAATTTCATATGAAGTTGTACCACCATAATGCAGCTCTCAAAAAGCTAAGGAAGAAATGAGTTGGAAAAGAGTAAATCTTTATCCTAGTCGTTTTACAATTGGACGCTATTTTATCTTAAAGCAAAATACTTCTAGTTTTGTCAAAGCTTTCACTACTTTGCCCTTAATTGACTTCATCATAATGATAGGTTGATCAGAAAGCTTTGGATTCAGAAAATCAATATATTGATTGATTCGACATACTGACAGGAGTATCTTACGCTACAAGCATTTCATCCCCTAAGTTAGTTCGCATTTACAACAGAACAGCATTGTTCTCAAAGAAAGATTTTCTGTTTTTCAAAAAGCAATCACTAGGGCTTGATTGAGAAGCTTCTTCTGGAGTTTGTGAATCGATTATGTGATTTTTTAGGAATATTTGACGCTTTTGCCGGATCTGGTATTGACATCTGCATTTTCTCAATCATCACTCTTCTATTCCGTGTTACCGAAAAGACCGCCACACCCACTACTGTAGCACTTAAAGGTTTGTCCTAGAATTTTCGTCCTAAGGATTGTCTTCTGAGCATTCGCTTGGAGCAAATGATCCCATTATTCTTTCTGATTGCGAAAACTATTTGAACCCATCTTTCTCTATAGGTGCAATCATTCATGTTCTCACGCCGCAATAAAAACATCACTAAAACTTGTGTGACACCTTGCGCGGCATAGTGTAAATTTATTCTAAAAACGGATTAAAAACAGCAAACAGCAGCGTTACACCTCGATAGGGTGTAATATATGACACGTGTAAGATTAGTAAACATGGCTGCACAAAGTGAAATGGAACAAAGATCAATTTGAGTTTTAATTCAGGAATCAACGCTGTTATTGCATTCTACTATCGTGCTGCCATGATGGCGGACATTTCCGAAATGGCCTGGAAATACTTTGCACTCACGATTCCCGTAGCATCCGCTATGGGTCCTCTTGGAAGTTTTCTTGGGTCGCACCTTCACAGACAGGTGGGTGAAGTGTAGGGAGTGGGAAATGCAAGGCAAGAGTAGGGACCAGTAAGGGTTTCAAAACAATGTTTTTGAAAGTCAAAGCCTTGCAAATAAATTTGAATTTTGACATATTTTACAAAATTTAGTACCAAAGGCACGAAGTTTGAAATTCGAGGAATGCGAAAGTCCATATTATCTGAAAATAAATTGGGCATTTTGCTGCCGCCAATGTCATTATTGATTTGTTTGATTGAAGTTTTGATAAGTGTCATAATCCACTAACAATCGGAGAGCAATTCTCTTTAAATTATTCCCTGAAGAGGACGGGTATATTCCATCTAATTTCCCCTCCCAAACTAACCCTCAAAGCTCCCAGAGTTCTCTTCAGCTTATGAACGTACTTATTTAGGCTGTTGCCAGTTTCGTCTATATTCTTGAAGCCGTCGCATTGATCGGGTTTCTCTTCACAAAACCTGGTTGGCAACTGATTGCTGCTGGAGGTAACCTTACATATCCTAATGTCATATTACCTTGGTCAATCAATATATCGATTTCTAGGCTGCATCATCCTGGGAGGTTTCGTGTTCTTTTCGTTTATCTCAAAATCTGGTCAATACCTCCTCAATAACATTGAAGAAAAAGATAAACAACGACAACAAACCAGAAAT